TATAGATTTTTTTATATATATCAAAAGAATTTAATATGTAAACAAGTGCAAAAGAAAAAAACATTATAGCAACCAGTTTTGTTTGTTTCAACAATTTTTGGGTGTGTGTGTATTTAGGACAAGGTGTACAGGGTCTATAGGGTCTCACTGCATAGGCTGTACTCGTAGCGATCCTCCAGTTTACAGCCTCCTAAGTGCTGGGATTCCGGGCACACGCCACCACGCCCAGTCGCAGTTGCTGTCTCAGCACACCCCAGGGGCAGGGTGTTTCAACAATATTAAAGATGCTTTACCAATAAAAGTACTTTACCAAGTCCTTTTCTATAAATAAACTATCACTGCAAAATACTGCTTACTTTCCTGTGGAGTAACTTCACAGTGTCAGATATTGAGCCAGAAAAATAAGGTAAGTAAACCTGCAGATTCTGTCCTCACATTTGATACACTTAAAATTATGAAAAGATCTTCCAAAAGGGGAAAGAATATATCTAGGAGGCCCCTACAGTAAGTCCTTGTCCCAAGGGACTACCCTTCAATCTGCAAAACTATCCCAGTGAAGGTGGATTAAAATCTAGGAAAAGGGGCTGGGAGATAGCTCAGTAGAATAAGTGCTTGTCTGGCAAGCAAAGAGCCTGAGTTCAATCCCTAGTTCTGCCAAAAATAAAAATTAATTAATTAATTAAAATAAGATAAAATAAAAAATCTAGGAAAAGAACTAACTTATCTTCAGTGTATTTGCCTAAATCAAGTAGTCTTTGAAAGATTTGTAATAAAACAAGAAGACAGTGCAGAGGTAAGATTCCTATGAACTAACAGTAGTATTTGACTATGATACCAAACGAGCCGTATAATAAAACTACACTGTCATTCCCAAGAGACAACTCTGCCATTATTACTGAAATATTTTATGTGAACTTTCTACTCTTAGTAGACTGCAGCTTGAAGACTTCGCTTAAATTCAGGTTCTTAAAGTTTGATAAATTCCTTTAAACAGGGGATCACATGTAATGAATGTAGCACTAACAGAGTAAGATGGGGTGCTGGCCCCTCTAGAGTTATTTGGAGTGTTACCATTGAAAGTGAGCTTTTCCCCAGTCATACTGCAAAATTACACAGCACAAATTTCTCCAGTTTTCCTTACAAATAACAAGATGGCAAAATCAGATTACCGTAATGTATTTTATAAGGAAAACATGTTTCTTAAAACTGTTTTCTTTTTCTTTTTTAAAATGTATTTGGTAGAGGATTTCACTATGCAACTCAGACTCGTAGTGTTTTCAGCCTCCCCAGTGCTGGGATTACAGGCGTGCGCCACCACACCAGGTCACCCGCATGCTTGCCTAAGCAGGCGCTCAGTTCACTATCTTGCCCACCCTCTTAAAACTGTTCTCAAATATGCCTATGACTGATTAGAAGGTAAGAACCAAATTAAGGCCTGCTCATTTCTATAAGCAAAGAGAATGTATACATAAGGTCAAATTCTTGTTAGTGTTTAAAAACTTTTATAGGAAATTTTACAAGTGGAGGAACTAAGGCACAGAAACTTCACCATGTTCAGTCTCAATGCTGAATAGGATATTCCAGGTAGAAATAGAATTTAGGGTTCTGGTCCTCAGGAAAATGGGTGACATCTTCCCAAGGAGAAAAATATATTTATTTTGGTGTATAATAAGTTGTTTTTTAAATATATAATATGGGGCCGGGGAGATGACTCAGTGGAATAAGCACTTCCTGGCAAGTGCAAGGCCCTGAGTTTGATCCCCAGTTCTGCAAAAAGAAAGAAGAAAGAAAGAAAGAAGGAAAGAAAGAAAGAAAGAAAGAAAGATATAATATGAATTTTCTTGAAAATCTTTGGCATAAAATGCTATTGATTTTGGATACTGACTTTGTATCCTGCTACACTACTGAATTTGGTTATTAAATCTACCAGTCTCTTGGTGGAGTATTTTGGGGTCTTCTATGTAGAGTATCATGTCATCTGCAAATAATAATTTCACTTCTTCCTTTCCAATTATTATTCCTTTTATTTCTCTGTTGTCTAATTGCTCTGGCTAATGGTTCCAGAACTATGTTGAATAGGAGTGGTGACAGTGGGCATCTTGTCTTGTGCCTGATTTTAAAGTGAAAGCTTTCAGGTTTTTGTCTATTTAGTATGATGTTGACTGTTGGTTCCTCATAGATGGCTTTTGTCAGGTTCAGCTATAAATCATCTATTCCGATTTTTTTATTTTATTGAGAAATAAATATGAATAAGACAGTTTCAAAGCTGAATAATAGGACAGTTTCGATAATCAATACATTGTACATTGTTATCTTCTTAGTGGTTATCCATAGTACAAGAAGCAGACAGGATATCCTGTCCAAATACTATTAGTACACCTCTTTCTTCTCATTGAATTAAGTGAAAGTAGCTGTGTATCTATCCTATTTTGTATATATAAATACAAAATGATCTTTCCTTTGTATCCCCTTCTTTTTGTTTAGTCCTGTCAGAGGTGAATATTCTATTGGCATCTAAATACTAAGGTGTTTGAATTCAGCTAAACAATTCAACACTGTCTAGCAGTCTATATTAGTGGATTATCCTCAGAAGTTATTGACTTGAGCCTTTTACAGCTTATCGTATTAATATGGCTTTACTTTATATACCTCATTTTTATACTTTTCTTCTGGGTGGTTAAGACCAAGATAAAGCAAGACCTATATAGCAAGAAATATAACTTTTGTATCTGACAAGGTCAGTCAAGTACCCCAGGATTTATCCTGTAACCCTGTACCGCACTTTGTAGATCCTCTGTCCGTGTCAGCCATGAGGATGAGTCACGGCCATTGCTTGACAAATTTGCTCTCTGTGAAAGCCTGAGAGAATGTTTTTTCTCTCCTGGTGACTCTCCCCAGGCACACTATACATCATCGATCACATTCTTCTGTGGCTCCATAATCTTCTTGACCAGAAAATTTGGAACACAACTGAATTACATGTTGTTACAGTACAGGTTCTCCTATGTCCCGAGTCTTCACTGACCTTGAAAGGCTAGGGCCAAAATGTTGGCTGACCTTGCAGCCCTTCCTTTTCTCCAATTTTGAAGTGCTAACTTAGGTTGTTAACCCTCCAGCAGAGAAGCTAATTATTAACCTGCAATATATGCAGTTCAGTCTACCCTATCTGTCTAAATATCAAACATGTTTGGCATATCATGGAACAGGTATTTTCCATCAAATATTGGTATGTTGAACTTTAAGACCTTACAGAATATGTAGGAAAAATAATTTTATAAAGGTAGAAGTAAGCATTTACATAATTATTCCAATTTTCTATAGGATTTTTATCATGAATAAGTGTTGGACTTTGTCAAAAGCTTTTTCCGCATCTATTGAGATGCTCATGTGATTTTTGTCTTTGTCCCTGTGATGTGGTGTATTACATTTACGAACCATCCCTGGGATGAATGGTCATGATGCAATAGTCTTGATGATTTGCTGCATTCTATTTGCCAATATTCTACTGAGCCATCTCCCCAGCTCTCATGCTTTTTTTTTTTTTTTTTTTTGGCGGAACCGGGGATTGAACTCAGGCTTTTATGCTTGCCAGGGAAGCACTTATTCCACTGAGCCATCTCTCTGGCCTTCCCTTTTAATTTCACTGAAGAGTTTTGAGAAAAGTTGGCATTAAATCTTCTCTAAATTTCTTGTGGAATTCAGCTGTTAATCCATCAGGACCTGTTTTTGTTGTTGTTGCTGTTGTCGTTACATTTTCAATTTCATTTCCTTTTATTGGGTTATTCAGAGTTTTTGAGATGATCTTCTTGACTCAGCTTTGACAATTCATAGGTATCTAGGAAACTGTCCATTTCCTCTGTGTTTCCCAACCTGTGAGATCTTTCTGTTCTTTATTTTATTTTTGTCGTTTGGAGACAAGGTCTCGCTCGCTATGCAGTTGATGCTGGCCTTGAGCTCACTTTGTAGCGCAGGCTGGTCTCAAATCATCCTGCCTCAGTCTCTAGACTGCTGGGATTACAGGAGTGTACCACCACGCCCAGCTTGGCTCACTGTTTTTTTTAACAATAAGAGGGCTTTGGGGAGGCGAGTTCAATGGACTGGACTCATTTCTCACCTGTAAGTGTCACTGGGAGCGGCGTCCAGCTGCAGGCTACAGCGGTGGGCTCCACCACTCCCCAGGGCCGGAAGCGCGGCCGGGGCTCCTCGCCTCCGCAGCTGCGGCCTCGGCAGAAGCCGGCTAAGCGGCCACGTCGGGGCGGCCGAGGCGGCAGCTGGCCTGCACCCCGCTTGGCGGCCCACCTCGGGCGGCTTCCTGAGGTCCCCGCCCCGGCGCCTCTGCGGGGCTGCGGTCGGAGACTGAGGCTCTTAGCGGGCGGAGGCCGCGCCTTCCCTCTCCACCAGCGCCCCGCGGGACCCTGTCCGCCCGCCGCCCCGAGGCGATGCGGCTTCCGCGCAGGCGGGTGACGCGAGCCCCGGCCCTGGCCGCCGTCCCGGTCCTCCCCCAGCTCAGGTGCGGCGAGCC